CGGAGCAACGGTCTCCAACTTCATTCAAGGATACATCGTGTGTCACTTTGGTATCCCCAAAGTGATTCTTTCAGACAATGGGACCCTTGTTGTCAACCGTCAAGTCGAACAACTCCTTGCCTCCTACAACATTATGCAATGTAAGTCAACACCTTACTACCCCCAAGGGAATAGGAAAGTTGAGACAACTAACAAAACACTCCTTAGAATCCTTTTGAGAACTCTCAAGGATTATCAAAGGAACTGGGCACACATACTCCCAATGGCGCTCTGGGCATATAGAATATCCAAAAGGAGGCCAACTTAGATGACCCCCTTTTCATTGGTACATGGCACATAAGCAATCCTCTAAGTAGAAATCGCCGTCCCCTCGGCTTGCATGGCTCTCCAAAGCGGAACTACTCCCGACAAGTTGACAGCTCGAATGGCTCTCCGAAACGGAACTACTCCCGACGAGTTCTAGCAACCGAAAATACAATCTTTGAATAGACTTCTAAAATATATATATATATATAGAGAGAGAGAGAGAGAGAGAGAGAATTGAGATTGTGCCTTCCCAAGGTAGAAACCTTAATTAATCAAAAAACCCTCCATGCTCTGTGGAAGCATTAAAGACAAATGCAACCACTCATGGCTACAGAGGCCTCGAGACAACAAAAAGTGCTGACAAACCTTAAACTCTTCATCGCTCATTGGCTGAAGCTATCACTAGCTACAACCTGAGCAGTTTCTAACTTAGCAGCTACCATGAGTAGCTCCAAATCTACAGTTACTATTGTCACTCCAAACCAGCAATTATGAATAGAACCGATGAGTTGTCTCCTCCATCAATCGCTCCTTCCCAACTTCTCCATAAACCTGCAAAGGCTAATAAACACATCTCCTCCTTCCCGATGCAATCTCTTTATAAGAAAGCAAAAACCCAATGCAGAACATACAACCAAAAACTCAAGCAAACCCCGACTCCATTAGTAACACTCTCCTCTTAACTATAACAACGCATCTTCTCAACAATGGCTTTTGGAGGTCAAGGACAGCGACCTAACACTATTTGGCGACTAGTTAGCAATAGGGCTCCCAACTCCAGAGCTTCGAGCTCCAATCCAACTCGCCTCCACACGGTGTGTGAATACTTTCCAAAGAATGCTAGCCATGCCTCCATGGTGATTCCAATACTTGCTCTTCGACTCCCCCTGGGTCTAACACCCAATATCCCTAAACACGGTCATTGAAGTACCAGAAAAGCTTCAGGGTGTAAGCAAGGGATGGTACCAAGAATTAACAAACCCAGTTATCCACATGATACTGCCACTCTACGCTTGTTTCTTGTTCAACCAAGAAACTTGCTTCAATTTGAGGAGGTTCGCACGCCAGACAATGTAAGTGCTATTCCCGTACTACGAACGGATCCGCATCAACATCCTCTCCCAAAAACCGGCTCTAGATATCTAGACCACCATGTTTCCATTATACAAGCACCTTTGGAGAACCTAAACGAAGATTTGGGATATAGGTGGAATGCGGAGGACTTTGCAAACCTCAACTTGGAGAAAAGGAGTGCTCCCCGCAACCTCCGCCACACGTCATTCACCATTCTCTTCTTCAACTTACTCATGAATCCTCCCACCAATGAATCTTCCAATTCACACACCAATCTCTAAAATTCTTTTTGAACAAAGGACGATCCAACCACATATTCTTAAATCTAAAGGGACCAGGACCCCACTAAAAAGGACAATTGGACGATTAGAAAGCACTCTATGAAGTTCCGCCTGCCTCACACTAGGGAACAACCCTTAGCAACCCTAATGAAAATAAAAATCTATCCAACCTATTGCAAACCAAATTGTCAAAATCAGACCAAGTAAATGAAGCATTCAACAAAGGAAGGTCGATCATACCACATCCCTTATGAAAGAATCAATATCCCTCTTACTCTCATAACCCTCCTACTGTTTCAGATAACACTCTAATAGGATTAAAGTCCCCCCTAAACACCAATTTGGAGAGCAAAGGGCAAAAAGACTCCTAGGTTCATCCCACAATGACTCCCTTAACCTAGAAATATTTGGCCTATAGATTCTTTACAACCACCCTAAGAAGCACGGACACTTCTATAGAGGAGGTGTGTCATGTCGGACATGACACTCTGTGGACACTCCTAAAAAGTGTATTCGACACTTCTTCAACGTGTCTTAATTAAAAATATTAATCCATAATATCAAACACTTCTCGAACAATTCGGCGGCATTTCTTGAACCCTCCAAACAAAACGCATGTGATGAATCTCTTTATACTAACAATGTTCTTGATTATTTGAAATACAACTTATTCACTCTAAATATGTTTTGAAACGCTTACAAGATAAATACATCCTGTATATTTCTATATTCTACAATTGTTTTGTATTCTTTAGATTGTAATTGTTACGTAAATGATATTTTGATGTTCAATTTATGAAATATATGTATGTTTAATTTAATTAGTTTTAAGTTATTTTTTTCATTACCTTCGAATAAACTATTCATACATTTTACATCCAATAAATTTATAAAAATATAAAAATTTAACGTGTCCTGGACTTGTCATGTCCATTTTTCTAAATTAACACGTCGGCATGTCAGTGTCAGTGTCATGTCAGTGTCACATCACGTCAGTGTCAGTGTCAGTGTCAGTGTGTGCTACTTCACCACCATTCCTTTCCCGTTCAAATTCTTAAACTTGACAAAGATACTAAGGTGGTGTTTGGCAAGTGGGTTGGGGCTAAAATAGCCACAAAAGACAAAACAGGCTATTTTAGCCACAACAAACAAAACATCACATCCAACCCATAATCATTATAAAAATTTAACGTGTCCTGGACTTGTCATGTCCATTTTTCTAAATTAACACGTCGGCATGTCAGTGTCATGTCAGTGTCACATCACGTCAGTGTCAGTGTCAGTGTCAGTGTCAGTGTCAGTGTGTGCTACTTCACCACCATTCCTTTCCCGTTCAAATTCTTAAACTTGACAAAGATACTAAAGTTTTCTCCTACAACTTTCTTCTCAATCACTCATCCCATGCAATTAAGACTCCAGCATATCTACCAACAGAAGGCACCGTAGCCCAAGTCCTAAATCTAATGCCCCAAATATTATTCAACAATGTCTGGACAATTTTTGGCTACCACCTCTTTCACCACTGCTATTCTAGCCCTAGACCGTAGTCCTCTCACATTCCAATTGACAATCTTCATTAAAACATACTTTTATCCCTTTCCAACCTTGATACACCATCATGATTAAACCTTGACTCTAGATTTTTAAGCTCTCTCAATCCCTTCCTATTACTACTTTCATTTTTTTCAACTTTGTTGACCCCTCTAAACTTAACCCCGCCCCTAGCGCTCTTTACCAAAGTCATTCCAGTACCTTCCAAAAGTTTATGAAGTTAACTGACTCCATCATTGTCAATAGGGAAAACTCCATTAGAGCATTTTTTAAATTCAAAACCCAAGACTCAATGTCCTCAATCTTATTAGCCCCCTCCTTGATCTCTATTTCCCCCATAATAATCTAACTTATTTCGTTGGGGCTACAAGTTGAACAAGGATCAATACCCTATGAAGAAGCCATTCACATCATAACTTATATATGTTCAACCAATGACAAAGTGTAATGCATATCTTGTACTATACAAGTCTCGAAATTGGGAGAACTGGCATCCACAAAATTAAAGTACTTAAAGAAGGCTAAATATTTTTATTAATAAAATGTGCATAATGTTGAAGTATCACAAACATGCCCGTATTTGGTGTGCCTACTTATTTTGAGCTCATAAAGAGTGATCAAATGAAGCTGAGCTTATATTTCATGGCGCCCTTAACTTGTGACCTTGATACACTAGGAGAAAAATTAGGAAAGTGAAACAACAGTAAGCTGTTTTGCCCGTTTCTTTGTTTTCTTTCATTCTATCTTTGCTCTTTCTTATTTTCATTCAGTTGACTATAATCCGCTTGTTTTGATGTAAAATATTTTACTCATTTTCCATTGTTTGGTTGAACAAAAGCAAGTAAAACATTTTTTTTTAAAAATATTTTTGCATCCTTTACAAAAATTACTTATATTTAAAAATTCCGTATGTCAATTTTTATAAAATTGACTCTCACCCACAACCTTTTTAATACATTTAACATTTTCAAATAAATATTTTAACTCACTAAAAAGTCATAAATTACACTTTATTAAACCAAAATTTCTCTTTTAGGCAATAAAATATTTATGTTTCAAGTGTCAAGCAAACACCAAAAAAATAAAAACAAAAACATTTTTTCAGTGTAAAATCAATTTATAAGAATTTTTTATTTTTTATTTTTTTTGTGTGTGTGTGTGTGTGTGTAAAAACAAATGGAGCCTAAAAGAAAAAAAAGAATGCCAAAAAATTGAATTGATAGTATGATTCTAGTTGAGTATGCATAGAATGAAACAGCCTCGCAAAACGCGTTAGGATCCTCTAGAGTTAAAGTCCTAGAGTGATCTCCTAAAGTACTCTATCCAACGGTTGAAATCAAACCTCACCAAAACGACGTCGTTTTGGTGAGGTTTGATTTCAACCGTTGGATAGAGCTTTTCATCAAAACGACGTCGTTTTGATGTAGGAAGATCTCAACGGTCTACCTCTTTAGTGGGACAGGTGTCGCGTTCAAAACTTTCACCGTAGAGGATCACTCTACCATTTCACTTCAGAGGATCCTGACGCTCAAAAAACACAATCACAAACTTCTTTCCCATTTTCAAAAGCCCTTTTTTAAGATTCTGTAGTCCAGTTGCTTTCACGGATCACAACTATTTTGACCGAATCTCTTGATTTTTCACCACATACAATACAATTTTTTAACGAAAAGGGACGATCTAAATGAATCAAGGTTGCATTGAATAATAATAATAGGGTATCAAGCAATCGAAGAGAAGTTAAAAAATAAATAAATAAATAATTAAAACAAGAGAAGAAACAATCACCGCGTTCTCGCGAGGACCTGGTTGGATATGGAATCCACGTCGCGACAGAGATAGCGAGTCCTTCTGGGTCTTGTGCTGCTCAGTTTCGTGATTAATTGAAAGCAAGATTTAGATAGAGAATGTTATACCAAAACAAACAAACAATCAAAGTACAATGCAGCAAACAATGATTTATATAGCATATGTATAAATGTAGAGAGAAAGAGAGAGACAGAGAAGAAATACCAGAGAATGAGAGCGTAAAGGAGAGAGAATAGTGGTTTTGTTCAGTAAGAACGCCATTGCAGCCGATAGCAGAGTTGAGAGAGAGAGAGAGAGAAACCAAGTAGAGGAAGAAGAAAGGGAAGAAGAAACTCAAATTTGGCTTGGATTTGTCAAGACTATGCAAGACTAAGTGTCTATGAAGACTCTAGGTAAGGATTTGCCTCTCAAACAGCTTGAAGGGAATGTTTGCTTGGCCGATTGTGGTCTATTTTGGAACGAGGGCTGCCATTACTTCCTGTCAAAATTTTTTGAACTTAATATTTTATAAATTTTTTTTATTATAATTATATCTTAAAATAAAATTATATTAAAAGATATTATTAAATAGAATACCCACTAATATTCTATAATACTGGACATCCACCCCCCACCTCCAACTCCAACTCCAACTATATGTATTCTATATTTGTAAACCCTAAACCTATTACTTTTCATAACCAACTAACATAAACCCTAAATCTATTATTTTTCATAATCATCTTAAATCTTGAATTTGTCATCTTCATTACCATCATCAACGCTATTGAACTTGAAAGTTTTGCTTCAAGTATAACGTATACTTCATCATTTTATAAGTTTATCTATCTTGCATTAACATTCTCGGTCGTTCTTGTTTCGTTCGAGCTGTTCGGTACTAGTTTGCTGACTGTTAGAATTATGTTCGGTAATACAGTACTGAACATAATCCTTTCGTTCAATACATAGGTTCCGAACATTAATGCAGATAGTCAGTTATGTAATTTTCTTTGTTAAAGTAACTTAGAATGGAAAAGAGTGAATTGGAATAGATTTAAGTTGTGTATTTTGAATGGATTTAATTCATGTTATTTTAAATTGTGAATTGGAATAGATTCAAGTTACACAGTGATGAACAAGTTTTGTTCGGACATACAGTGCTGACAGGATCATTATTGTTCGACAAAACAGTTATGAACGAAATACATTTTTTCGGCTACACAGTGGTGAACAAATTGTTTTGGGCTACATTCAGAATTCTGATGGCGATTTGGAGTATGTTCGATCGACCTCAGCAATAACGAAGATACAAAAAGCAACGAAGAAGATGATGATGATAGGATGAGAGAGGTTACTGATTCAGCGATATGGAGAGCGTTCAGAAAAGATGAGAGTCGTCGGAATGCTCTGTTGACGGCCGAGATGGCGACGAGAGTGATGGAGGGTTGGGGTCCAAGAATTCTATACTGGACCAAAGCTCCAAACTCTGAAGATTGAGTGAGCCAGGGAAGGAGAGGGATGAAAAATTAGATGGGTGTGCATTTCATTGTAAAAATATGATGAATATGGGTAGATTTAATAAGTGGGGTGTCTAAAAAAATATTATTAAAATTTAGGATTTAGGGTTACGGTCCAAAGAAATGGGGGGTCCAAAAAATTTTGGTAGGTGCTAATAGCAGCACTCTTTTGAAATTAAGATTAAAATCAATTTATTGGCTTTTTGAATTTTTGTTAGATTATCTTTTTATTTTTTGTATTTTTTTTTATAAAAAGTAAAAAAATCAATTTTTAACCTACTTCTTAAAATAGGCTTCAGTTAAATAAAATTATTAATATGGTGAAATTGAGTGAGAAAATTTGATTTTATAAGATAAAAAAATATTTATTTGTGTATTAATATAGTAATATTAATTAGTTAAAATTAAATTTATAAAATAACTATTTTTTGTTTAAAACGGTAAAATAAAATGATGATTTAAAACAATCAATGAACAATTACAAATTTCACAATTCTCATTTAATTGACTTATAAATAGAATCTTGCTAACAAGTGTCTCTAAAATACAAATAAAAGACAATATTTATAAAACACAATACATTTTCACCAACTCCAATGTACTTTTATTGATATTAATATACCTTTTAATATTTTTACATATTTTCAAAATATTTTTTACTCACTTCTCAACATTAAATAATGGCTATGGACACTAAATAGCATTTGCCATAAATAATAAAAGAAAAAATGTGAATGTTGTGTTCTTGAAGAAAGAACAAACACAGAAGTAGAAGAAAAGAAAAAACATAGCGTTGAATGCTCTGTTACAGATGCATTCATTCAAGAGTACAGTTTCCTATTAAAAAAAAAGGGTAAATTAGCACTGTATATGCAACTGAGATTGAAGGAATCTTTCTGCACAGTCCGTTAAGAACACCTCTGCCTTTTCTGAGTTGAATTTCACAATCCTAATTCTTCGTTGGAATCTCAGCACAATAGATGTTTTTAACCATATCTTCTGGGCCTTAACAGCCTGATCACTCACCAATCCAGTGTCACTCCTATCACTTTGTTAATCGGTACGTGATTCAATTCCTGGGATCACAGCTTGAGTCTTGCAATGATCTCTCAAAACTGTGGACACTCCTCTTCACGCTCTTGAATCATGGATTTGGAGAAATAGTAAGGAGGACTTCAAGGGAGGGAACCCATTAAGTCCATACCAGAAATGCCAAAATCATCTGTACTGCTCACACTCCGATTGAAATAATCGGGTGAAAAGATACCCGGAGAAGTCCCATTATTATGACTTATAGGATTCTCCAATATGGGTGAATTAGAGTGAAGTGCATTCGATAAGTTAGACGAGTCACAACTAAGAGAATTCCTATCAACAGAGACTACTTCCCCCTGGTGTTCAAATGCAGATACTACCAACTTGTGGGCGTCAACCTGGTAGCAAAATCAATGAGAGTAACTTACAAATGTGAAAAATCAACAAAGACAAAAAATAAATAAATATCGGGTGATATGAGAAGCATACCTTTTGTGTTGCAGAAAGCTTCTCCATAGGAACATAACCGCATTCAGAGAGTATTCCCAGCACTTGTCCCACAACAGTGAAAACGACACCAATTTTCTGCTGCGAACTGCCCGAGTAGTACGAATACCAATCATCAAGTTTACATGTCAGAGCATGGTCCACAGTTTCTTTCAACATTTTATCAGACATGTGCGTTCCAAGAGTCTGCATAAGTTCCAACAAACAAATATTGTTAATATTATATACACTGAAGGCAGGCAAATTTCTGTATTGTTTGTCAGACATAAAAGACATTAGTTAAGAAGTCAGAAATGTTGAAGATGTCCATGGAGACCAAAAACATCACAAGGTTACACCAAAAAAAAAAAAAAAAACGCGCACACACAAACTGAATGCAACTGTATAAAGAGCCAGAATGTTTGTACAAGTTTCATCTGGTTTAACCACTGATTTGCAGTTAAAACCATTGATTTCATTAGCATGACATTTTCTCAACGTATAAAGCATTATATCAAGGGCAAAGAAGTTGGCAATTAACATTAGGAGGTGCTCATGCAGTGATCTCAGAAAATTTGACCATGGATGTAAATGATGGCCATGTCATTGTCCTCATTGCATAACAAAACGGGCACATGTGCACACTCAAAAAAAAACTCTGAGCACAGGTAAGACAAAGGGCGTCCCCCTCAGAACCTATTCTTTTAAGCAACAGGGAACAAACTAGACTTTTCGGTTTTTCCTAATGAAGAGGATGGGCACGATTATCCAATTATCAAGGAAGTTTGAATAAGGTTACCAACAAATCAACATTTCAAAGCAACATTTAGTCTATAGAAGGCAGCGCCTCACAATTTAACACAAAATAGAAATAAGTAGAGAATACCACTGTTAAGTAATTGAAGTCAAGTGTGAGAAAAAGCAAAAAATTCTTACGACTTGGAGCCTTTGACGGTGTAAAAAGAATTCAGTCAGAAATTGCTGCACTGTTTTTATGTTTCCGACACTCAAACGCTTATAGAAAGCACCACGTCTATCAATGTTTTTTAGCCGCCACACCGCATCAGATAGAGATGGAGAGTCAAGCTTCTTGTACACTGCAAACAGAATATTGAAGTTATATTGGGCATTTTCCATTTTCACACTAGCGTGGTAACACCTTATATATGTGTTATGAATACCTTAATTGTCTGACTATCTTTCTTTTAGTTTCATAGGCTTCTAAGCAATGAAAGAAGCTAGTAAGACAAGAACACAGAGTGACTTCAACCACTAAAACTCAATCGATTGTTATAATCTAAAGAATTCAAAACAATTGTAGAATATAGAAATACACGTGATGTATTCATCTTAGAAATGTTTCAAAACATAATTAGAGTGAATAAGTTGTATTTCAAAGAATATAAACATTGTTACTATAAAGAGATTCATCATATATATAGGTCATGTTTAGAGGGTTCAAAAAGTGTCAAAGTGTCCGTAAAATGTTCAATATTATGAATTTACATTTTTAATTGAGACACATTAAAAAAGTGTCGGACATGCTTTTTAAGAGTGTCCGCAAAGTGTCGTGTCCGACACGACATGCCTCCTCTATAGAAGTGTATGTGCTTCTTAGAATAAATAAATACACAAATATCGTGTATTCAATAATAAAAACAAGTATACCCAAAACTCTATTTATATGAAATGGACCATAATTCAATCTATTTTATAGTGGATTCCAAAAGCCAGCATCAGTGTAACCCACACCTGGCCCAAGCTATTATTGAATATCAGATTTTGGCAAATAGATAGAAGAAATTTATAACAAAATTAGAAGCACTCGCATTTGCCGCGTCGATCCTTGATGATGAAAGGTTCTGTCTCTGCTTCTCTTACTCTAGTCCCATTAAAATTATCCACAATTCTTGCACCCAACCTGAACTTACGATTGTTCATCCAGATTGAGGTGTGTGTAAAAGAAAGCTCACCAACAAAGCCAATGCCTTCTCTCAGATTCAGACATGCATTTCCACTAAGAAGAGATTTATTTCCTTCCCTTTCTCTGACAATATTTCGGTTAAACTCTTCAAGGGTCGGCATGGACACTATTTCCTTAGGGCTAAGGACAGCAACCATCAACTAGTGACTATGCTTTCCAGCTCTGGCAAGCGAGTCGATGATGTTATGGTCGTTGTCCAAGGTAACTGGGAATTCGGCGAAGGGGAGAATCTCCTTGATCCTATTCCTAGACAGAGGGGCAAACCAGGTGGCCGTATAGTTTTTTGCGTTTATTTTTCTTATATTTATAAAGCTTCATTTTTAAGATCTCATGGTTTGGTTTGTGTAGGAAACAATTTGAAGAAAGTCTTGATCTCGACCGACGACGCCGTTCTTTCAGAGATCAAAGTCGCACTGAAATACTTCGGCTGTCCAAGCCTTCAGAAACAAGGGAGAGCGGCCCACATTCTTCTTCGATACGAGCTGACGTATACGACTTTCTCGGCAGTAGAAAACATCGCGATTTCGAGAGGTGAAGAGTTTCTTACGGCTCTTATTTTAAACAACTTCAGAAACCTGCGCCAAATCGGTTTCGAAGGATCCGACTCGGAGCGTGTGGAAGTCGCTGAGGTCGCTGAAGAATCAGGCCAATCCGAGGCCGAAGTAGACGAGGCTTTAAGGGTAGCCTTTAAGGAAGCAGGCCTCAGTTCAACCAACCCTCCGTCCACCTTGGGTTGAGTAAAAGTTTACGACGACGTCTTTATTGGATTAGAAGACCTTCCCGGCGCGTACCCTGAAGATATGGCCGGGTTGTCACTCACACAACTTGCCAAAAAGAAAAACGCTGAACGAATGACAGCACGGCGGAGAGCAGAGGCCATTCAATCCAAAGTGCCACCCATCGCCGATGTTGAGCCCCCCTGCCTGTTATTGAGGAGGAGACGACTCAAACCCGAAATGCCGAGTCAGAGCCGATAGTGCCAGCAAATCAGGAGGTTGAACGAATGGCAGAGAAACGTCCTACTGAGGTTGAGGCCGGCTCTAGAGAAGACCCTGCTGACAAACGGCCGCATTTAGAGGAGTCGGATACAGTTGTGCCTTTTGTGGTTCAACCAAAGATAAAAAATATGTCGATCTCCTCTGACGCGTCGGCTATGAAAGATTTAGACGTGGCGTTGAGCATGGCTTCATCGGTTTCATTACTGTCTGACAAGGTGACTTTCCGCTCGGAGCCAGACCTTTTGGCAATAGCGTTAGCCGCTCAATCGGCTCTTCTGGTAAATATCTTGATCTTGCCTTTCCCTTTTATGCATATATTTTGGTTTTAATCTCCTGTTTTGCAGACGGTCAGAAGGATAGTCGAGATAGGCCGTGGCCAGCACGACGCCATCGAATGAATTGGCCATTTACAATCCGAAGTTAAGGGCCAAAGGAGCTGGGCCGAGTTTGAAGCGGCGAGGGCGAAAATGGAAGCTGCAAGGGCCGAGGCCGAGATGGAGAGGGCCAGAAATGCATACCAGCTCAGATTGGCTGCCGAGCAGAGGGCGAATGCGAGCGAAACTGCGCTCAAGTTAGCCCAAGAGGCGATCGCCAAACTTGAGACAGACTTGGCAGAATCAAAGGCAACGACGGAAGTAGCTGATTCTGAGGCTTCAAAGGCGTATGAGGCTGGACAAAGTGCTACCCTCGCCAATTATGTGGAAGAAGTCCCCAAATTCAAGAATCGGGGATTCAAACACGGCTGGCTCAAAGCCCTTGCTGCTGCTAATGCCGCGGAGGCTATGCCGATTCCATACGAGCAAGTGGATGTTGAGCCACTGGAGTCTGATTCTGAGGATTGATTGGGGCGACAGTAGTTATTTTTGTTTAAAGATTTTGAATGTAATGTTACAACTTTTTCTTTAGTAGTTTTTATGTATGGCTATAGTTTTTAAGTTTTTGCTAGGCATTTGCCTGCAAACTTGTAGCTTTTTATCTAGTAGTCTTTTTCACATGTAAAATGGCTGCAGTCTGTGCCCAATTTACTAATGAAAATTCCCTTGTACTTGCTAATTACTTGTGCTTAATTTTTCTATTGATGCATAGTATTGCCTTTTTGCTTCTTTGGATAAAACATTCATGTACACTTGACGATTAGATAAAATTAGGCAATTCAATAATTTACCATCGTAGAATAGCCGATCAGATTAATAAACCTGCCCTTGCCCCAGCCATATGAACTCCAAAGGCCGAATACCATGAGTTCATGGAGTGGCTGCGGCACAGATCGATCGGCACTACGCCCAAGCGACTAATTTACCATCGTCGAATAGCCGATCAGATTAATAAATCTGCCCTTGCCCCAGCCATTTATGAACTCCAAAGGCTGAATACCTGAGTTCATAGAGTGGCTTACGGCATCCGATCGATCGGTCACTAGTCGCCCAAGCAACTAATTTAACCATCGTCAAACAGCGATCAGATTAATAAATCTGTCCTTACCCCAGCCAATTTTATGAACTCCAAAGAGCCGAATACCATGAGTTCATAGAGTGGCTACGACGTCGATCGATTGGCACTTTGCCCTAGGGCGACTAATTTATCATCATTGAATAGCCGATCAGATTAATAAATCTGCCATTGCCCCTCCAGCTAATTTATGAACTCAAAGGCCGAATACCATAAGTTCATGGAGTGACTGCGGCAGCCGGATCGATCTGCACTTAGCCCAGGCGACTAATTTATACATCTAGGAATAACCGATCAGATTAATAAATTTGCCCTTGCCCCAGCCAATTTATGAACTCCAAAGGTCGAATACCATGAGTTCATGGAGTGACTGCGGCACCGATCGATCAGCACTTCGCCCAAGCGACTAATTTACCATCGTCGAATAACCGATCAGATTAATAAATCTGCCCTTGCCCCAGCCAATTTATGAACTCCAAAGGCCGAATACCATGAGTTCATGGAGTGGCTGCGGCACAGATCGATTGGCACTACGCCTAGGCGAGTAATTTACCATCGTCGAATAGCCAATCAGATCAATAAATTTGCCATTGCCCCAGCCAATTTATGAACTCCAAAAGTCGAATACCATGAGTTCATGGAGTGACTGCGGCACCGATCGATCAGCACTTCGCCCAAGCGACTAATTTACCATCGTCAAATAACCGATCAGATTAATAAATCTGCCCTTGCCCCAGCCAATTTATGAACTCCAAAGGTCGAATACCATGAGTTCATGGAGTGGCTGCAGCACCAATCGATCGGCACTTCGTCTAGGCGACTAATTTACTATCGTCGAATAGCCGATCAGATTAATAAATCTACCATTGCCCCAGCCAATTTATGAACTCCAAAGGCCGAATACCATGAGTTCATGGAGTGGCTGCGGTACTGATTGATCAGCACTTCGCCCAGGTGACTAATTTACCATCATAGAATAGCCGATCAGATTAATAAATCTGTCCTTGCCCTAGCCAATTTATGAACTCCAAAGGCAGAATACCATAAGTTCATGGAGTGGCTGAGGCACCGATCGATCGACACTTCGCCCAGGCGACTAATTTACCATCGTCGAATAGCCGATCAGATTAATTAATCTGCCCTTGCCCCAGCCAATTTATGAACACCAAAGGCCGAATACCATGAGTTCATTGAGTGGTTGCGGCCAGATCGATTGGCTCTATGTCCAGCCGTCAATAATTAATGAAACCGCCTCGAGGGCGCTACATCTGTTAAGGATAAATGGGGTAGGTTCTTCGCGCCCATAATTCCACTTATTGTGTTTATACTTGATTGAAACCAGTTTGTTGCGGAAGGTCTGATTAACGCGGATGTCAAGTAGACTGTTCATCAACAGTAGAAGAGGAGGGCGAACATTGGCTGAGCTAGACATTGAAATGAATCGCAGCAGTGAGCCCATACGCGCGGGAGGTAGGACATCCAAGAAACGGAAAAAACGTCAGCCCCCAAGTCGTCGAAGCATATCACCCCGAAAAGAAAAACAGCAACGAGGAAGCTCCCCATGACCGCGACCGAGAAATGAGCCCGACGTGACGTCGCGACCGTTGAGTTTTGCGATTTTTGTGGGGAATAAACCAATGACGGATGCGGACTCCATTGTTAATGACCCAGGTGTAGCAGTCGAGTTCGCTCGATAGATTTTTCCACCGGAAGTCTAGCAGTCGATGGTTGGTCGATAAGATTTTGAAGTATTTTGAGAGGGCATCCATGGGGCGGTGAAAGGGCTGTATACCGCTTATGAAGTCGGTATGCGCCTACGCGCCGCTCGACGAGAAATAGAGAAGAAAGACAAACGAATTCGGAGTTTGGAGGCTCGCATGGAGAAGGCCGAGCGTGAGCTCAGGGAACTCAAGAAGGCTCAGACCACTGAGCTGTGTGCGGTAGGTCAATCTGACCCGGTCGTGGACGAGAGAGTGACCCAACAGATGTTAAGTCACGCGATTGCCGATCGAGATACGGCAAGCATGTTTGCCGTAGAAAATGCAAGGACCACGGGTTATGAAAAAAGCTTCCATGACGGCTGGAAAGTCGGGATAGACAAGACCAAAGAGAAACTTGCAAAGGAAGTCTGCCGATGTGAGAACCGGGGCTTTAAGCATGAATGGATCAAGGCTCTTCAAGCCACAGAGGCTCTCCAAGAAACGAGAGTTGAATCGGCGTCGCCATTATACCAACGTCAACATTTTCCTTATGACGCTTTCGAAATTGAGAAGGTGATGATGAGGGTGACGCTGAATAGAACTGAACGTATTGTAAACGCTCTAATGTACTGAACTGAATGTATTCATTGGTTATATTTGTTAATTTAATAAAATATTTCATTTTAAATGTTTGCATTGCATTTTGAATGTTTGCATGCTTAATTAAGCATCTCATTTTGAATGTTTGCATGTTTTAACTTGTTTATGCGCTTTGCGCCGGCTGAACTTAATTAAGCATTTCATTTTGAATGTTTGCATGTTTCAACTTGTTTATGCGGTTTGCACCGGCTGAACTTAATTAAGAATTTCATTTTGAATGTTCTTATGTTCTAACATGTATATGGTTTTCGCTGGCTCAACTTAACGGAGCATTTCACTTTGAATATTTGTATGCTTCAACTTTCATGTACGGCGCGCCGAATCGTGACG